AAGTTAGCTTCCGTCCTCGTTTTTCCATAAAAACCCTGTGGATAGAAGAAGAGAAAATTTTCTCGAATGTTTGACGAAGGTTCGAAAATTTACTAGAAAATGTAAAGGAATACAAAAGTAACGCCCGATTTTTATGTCATTTTTCTTCAAATTCGTATGATTTAAGGCCGCATCTATAATGTAAACGCCTTGCATCATTTTTGAATATTCGAAAATGATTCTAGTAGTCTAAATACACTATAAGCCAATCAATAAACAACTTTCTTTCTTGTTTTTTAATTATTTCTGAATTTCGAATTAAATTTTTAAAAACACGGACCACTATATTATAGATGCCATAGGAAAGATCGGAAAATTAAATGGAAATTAATAGAAACGAGGACGGAAGCTAACTTCGGCAAGCCGAAGTTTTAATACCCTTGCAGATTTTACGAATTAAAATTTGACTAGACTAGCAACATGCATTAATAAACAACAAAATATTTTATAATTGAAAAAATAAAATTTTAAAATTTTTCACCCTATTGTTCCTATGGGAGCTATAGGATATAGACGCCCGATCGGCACGCGCGTTTACCCTAATGAAGGTACGCACAAAAAAATACGATTTGGAAAGTTTCATGGGAATAGCTAATATTTTGCGCGAAATATCCTGAAAAACGTAAAATTTTGACCGATTTCACCCTATTGTTCCTATGGGAGCTATAGGATATAGACGCCCGATCGGCACGCGCGTTTACCCTAATGAAGGTACGCACAAAAAAATACGATTTGGAAAGATTCATGCCAATAGCTCTTACACTGAGCGAAATATCTTCATTTTTGTGAAAGCTATATCCGATTGTTCCTATGGGAGCTATAGGATATAGACGTCCGATCGGGTCGGCTTTCAAACTTGATCTGCGTACACATGTTTTAGGACGACTGTGAAAGTTTCAAGGCGCTAGCTTTTAAACTGAGCTCGCAAACGGTATTGAAACAGACATACAGACGGACAGACGGACAGACGGACAGACGGACATGGCTATATCGACTCCCCTATTGATCCTGATCAAGAATATATATACTTTATGGGGTCGGAAACGTCTCCTTCACTGCGTTACAAACTTCTGACCAAAATTATAATACCCTCTGCAAGGGTATAAAAATATAATTTCTTTGTTGATTTTTAATACATTCTCTTCTTCTCTGTTTTTATTTAACCTTTTAAAATTTTGAATTAAATTTAACAACATTCTGACCGGTATAGCTGCCATAGGAAGGATCAACAAATTAATGCCAAAATAATAAGAGATCAGCTAAAATTTTGTTTGTTGTTATATATATGCAAGAAAATCGAAATTAAATGTTTTTGTAAGTTAATTAGAATGATGTGCAAGGGTATTCGGCCAGACGAGGCTAGCTTCCTTTCTTGTTTTTTAATTATACCCTTGCAGAGGGTATTATGATTTCAGTCAGAAATTTGCAACGCAGTGAAGGAGACGTTTCCGACCCCATAAAGTATATATATTCTTGATTAGCATCACTAGACGAGTCGATCTAGCCATGTCCGTCTGTCCGTCCGTCTGTTTCTGCGCAAACTAGTCTCTCGGTAACAGTACTAAATTTCCCTTATTTGTTAGGGACATCTATATATTATAATATTTCCCTTTGGTCCCCTTGCAGTTTTGCAAGGCTCCCGACAGAATAGTATTAAAAATCTGTGTGGTGTAACCGTAGTTCTTATTTTAGTTTTATTTGTAGTTTTCACTTTTTATTTTATATTTTTGGGTAAGCGTGGTTTTCACAACGTGTTCGCTTCTCTGTCTTGTTGTAGTGTGACCGTTCTCCGATCCTCACATAATCCCTAGTTCTTAGTTTTACATATTATTGAAACAGCGGAATTTGTACATTACTTATAAATAATAGTTATCGGTACATACATCAATTAAACCAAACAATACACTGCTTTCACACTTAAACCAAATCAATATAATGCTTACAGCTCGGCCATCCTGACAATAAGATCGTCCTCGATCGTGGGTTTCTAGTTTATATAAGTAATACCTAAATGTTCTAAGGTTTAGTTAAATAAATTAATAATTTGTATAGAATAAGTTAAGTTGTAAAATTGTTGGTTAATAATTAAGGTATTAATTATTTAAATATATGTATAAATAGATTACTTAACAATTATTAGGAGTTAATTTCACACTGATTACGCCAATCTGCCCATTTCCTTAACCGACATGCTTCTACAATTCCATCGTAGGGAATTTGACTAATTTGACAATTTTCTATATCACTTATAACATATCTATCGTTTGGCAAAATTCTTTTAACGACGTATGGTCCTTTGTACTTCGGTACAAATTTTTTATTCGTACCAATTGTGGTGTCAATGTTTCTCATTACAACAAAATCACCTTCTTCGAATTCTACATGACTTTTGTGATTTTTCTGAAAATGTTCCTTGCTTCTTTTCTGACACTGTTCTATTTTATCTGAAGAGTTCTTACGGACATTTCCTAAATCGCACTGTGGTCTATCATTTCTATCATCTAAATATTCTGTTAATGCGTCAATATTGCAACCTCTCTGCTGAATTCCAAATAATAATACTGAGGGTAATTCCTTCGTTGTTGAATGGACTGAATTATTAATGGTATATTCAGCCCTAACCAGGAGTTTGCTCCAGTCCTCGTGCCTAATTGGTTCAGTTATCTTAGCTAACATTGCTTTAACTGTTCTATTTACTCTCTCCACTTGACCGTTCGCTTGAGGTGACGCAGTTGCTACTTTAACGTGTTCAATATTGTTTTCTAATAAAAATTTAGCAAACTCTAATGACGTAAAACATGTACCCCTATCACTAATGATTCTACGTGGTCGACTGTAGTATTGAAAATATTTCGAAAAACACATGTTCACTTCTTTCGTACTCGTTGAGTTTACAGGAAACAATTTAACAAACTTGGTAAATCCGTCAATAATTACTAACAAATGCTTCTTTTTCGATATAACTGAGGGCAATGGTCCAAAATGGTCTACATGTAATGTATCAAAAGGGATTGGTCGCTTGGGTATATTATGTAGGGTTCGATTATTTGCATGTGTAGGTATTGTAAACATGATACAATCTAAACAATTTCCGATAAACACCTCTATTTTGGATTTCATGTTCGGAAACCAATAATGTCTCATTATTTCCTTCAAACATTTTTCAGTACCTAAATGACATAAATTTTCATGAACTCTCCGAATTATATGGGTTTCCATTTCAGCTGGTACATATAACAATTCAATATCATTCTCACATAATCTATAGACAATTCCATCGTTCAATATAAAATTTTTCACATTCCCAAGTTCTAATTGTTCTTTCAATTTTACTATAAGACTATCTCTATTTTGCGTTATCTGAAGCTGAAGATTGATGTCGTCACTGTCAATTACTGAAACTATTTGGTTTTATCATTCTTGTTTCACTATAGCATTCAAAATTCTCATTAAACAAGGTATCTCAATTACAACATTCATATATTTTCCACTGAAACTATGCTTAAGGGTCTAATTATTGTCAGCTAATTCTAAAAACTATATTCAATTGTCGTAATGAGTAAACTACAGCTAATGTTTCCAATCTAAAGCTTTCATATCTTGCCTCTAGTTTTGTTGCTCTTTGTGAAAAATAAGCTATTGGATGGAACTTGTTATCATCCTGCTTTTGTAATAGGATTCCACCAAATCCCTCGCTACTTGCGTCGCAATGCAATTCCGTTTCTCGATTTGGATTGTACAACGATAATATAGGAAATGAAATTAATTTCTCCCGAAGATATTCAAAAGTATTGATGCAATCCTCGTTGAGTTCGTACTTAACACCTACTTTTGTGAGCTCTTGCAATGGTTTAGCTATTTTTGAATATGCCGGAATAAATCTCCTAAAGTAAGAAAATAATCCTAAACATTTTTGCATTCCATGGCGATCTTTCGGAATCGGAAGATGTTTAATAGTTGATGTGTGCTCGTAATTCGGACTTATCCCTTTTTCACTGAGTGTGTACCCTAAAAATTCAATGCTTTTGTAAGCGAATTGGCATTTATTTATTTTTATTTCCAATCGATATGCTGCCAAAATTCTTAATACTCTTCCTACCGTCGTAAAATGTTCTTTCAATGTCTTTGAACCTATAGCAATATCGTCTATGTAAACTACTACATTTCCTTCTCGAATTAAAGGTTGCAGAATAAAATTAATAAATCTCATGAAAACTGCGGGTGCATTCATAAGTCCGAAAGGCATTCTTGTGTATTCATATTGACCGGAGGGTGTTACAAATGCTGTATATTGTACTGAACTTTCTGCTACTTTTACTTGGTGGTATCCACTTTTCAAATCTAAAAGTGTAAAATATTGATTTCCCTCTAATCTCTCTAAACAGTGATCTATTAGGGGAAGCGGGTATCCATCACGAATAGTTATTTTATTAAGTTGTCTATAATCTACACACATACGTTTTTCCCCAGATTTCTTCTTAACAAGCACAATAGCGGAACTATAGGGCGAATTGCTTTCTCTTATTAATCCTTTTTTCAATAACTCATCAATTTTAAAATCTACTTCTTTCTTTTCCTGATATGAAAGTCTTCTCGGAACAGAGCGTACCGGTTCTTCAGACTTAAGCCTTAGCCTCATTTCATAACTATGTTGGATCGCTGGGATGTTGGATAAACATAAGTAATTCAATCTTATTATTTCACTGAGCTCACTGCGATCTCTATCACTCAACTTCGGGTCAATGTCAAAACTTTCGACATCCTTAAATACATCAATACTGTATATATATGGTATGCTGTCATTACTATCGATTTTACTTTCTTCAAATAATACTTCAATGTTTCTATTGCTTATCAATTGGTTACTGCATCGATATGTTTCACTATTCTCTAATATATTCAATGGTTCAATATTCACTACTCTTTTCAATGGTTCACTGTCTCGATATGTTTCACTATTCTCTAATGTATTCAATGGTTCAATATTCACTACTCTTTTCAATGGTTCACTGTCAATGTTCAATCTGTTCAATGATTCACTATTCTTAAATAAATCCAATTCTTTAATTTCTTTTATCGTATCTTTAGAAATCAACTTTATTCCAAATTTTTCCAGAAACTTACGGCCTAAGAGAACATTAGTTGCAACATAGTTGTTGGGTACAACAAAAAATAAGATTTCTTCTTCTGTGTTTTGAAAAACGAGTCTAACAAATATTTTCCCGAATGTATTAATCTTAAATCCATTAACTCCACAGTAATCAGTCGGAAACAATACATCGCTAAAGTTTTTATAGGGAATGGCAGCGTGCTGAATTAAATTAATGGCGCTTCCCGTATCAAACATGGCAGAAAGAAAAGTTAAATTAGGCTTCTGTTGGCAATCAGTGTAAAAATAGACTCCTACCTGGTTAATAATAGGAATAAACATATTGGGCTCCACTTCGTCATCCCGTATCGGCTGGTTGTTGGCTGCTCCCACCATTCTCGGATTACTTGCTGGCTTCTGTTGGCAATCCTTTAGCATATGCTGGAGGGATCCACATCGGAAGCAGGATCCCTTCTCGCGCTTCGACGCAGTACATGACGAAGCGTAATGCCCATAAGCGGAACAATTGTAGCAGCGGATTGTGTTCCGATCTTTTCCAGTGGTTTCTGGGCGGTGCGAAAAATGTTGGGACTTTTTTTTTAGGTTTTCATATTTCCGTGCCAACTCCTTCAATGGTCCAATTGTGGTTGCCGTGTACAATAGAGCGATATTGGCTGAACGATCGCGAAAACCATCAATTATGAACTGGACTGTCAATTTTTCCTCGATGTTAGCACGCATAGCGATTTCCTCCATGAGGAGTATGTATCCCATAACGGAGTTTTTTCCAGGGTTAAAAATAGTTTCTTTTAACAGCAGTACAATATCAGCAGTTGAACTGCCACGACCGAATGTCTTTACAAAATTTTCCTTAAATTCGTCGTAAGTGTTCGATCGATCGACACGCAGGAACAAGTCGGCATCTGTTCCTGGTTTCATCAACATTCGCACGCAACGTAATTGAAAATTTTTACACTCATTAACATCTCTGCAGATTCGATCTCAAATCGATTCCGAAATCCACTTAAGGGCTTCCTCATTTTCAGTGGCAGAAAACGGGGTCATGAGCTGTTTCACCATTCGGATGTCATCTGTCGTCTTATTGTCGTTCTGCGTTAACCCAGACAATATCTTCTTCTTCTTAGCTACCCGTATGGCGGCGTCAAGTAGTGCTTCTTCTTCTTCCAATTCGTCGATGTCTTCGCTAGCGGTCCCATGGCTTAATACATCAATTTTGGTGTCTTCTTCCTCGAAAGTGTTTTCCGGGATATCAGCCGCCTCTTGGCAACCGGCATCCAAAGCAAGCTTGCGCAGTTGTCTTAATGTTGCACTTGTTGGGAACACAATTTCATTGGCTTGAAGCCACTCCACAATTTTCGATTTGTCCATTTCAAAATGGCGTCGTACGCTAATGCGTAATTATTAGGAAAAAAAAAAACTTGTGTGTTCTTGGATAACCAAAGTGTATATGTAGGCGGATGTTTAAAAGGTGTCTATCCCACTTCTGAAGTTGTAACCGTAGTTCTTATTTTAGTTTTATTTGTAGTTTTCACTTTTTATTTTATATTTTTGGGTTAGCGTGGTTTTCACAACGTGTTCGCTTCTCTGTCTTGTTGTAGTGTGACCGTTCTCCGATCCTCACATAATCCCTAGTTCTTAGTTTTACATATTATTGAAACAGCGGAATTTGTACATTACTTATAAATAATAGTTATCGGTACATACATCAATTAAACCAAACAATACACTGCTTTCACACTTAAACCAAATCAATATAATGCTTACAGTGGAAAACATAGTGTTGCAAACTGCCAATGCATACAGAGATAAAAGTCGAAAAACAAAGTCCCTATCAAATGTCCCTGTTCAAATTTCACATGAAATAATGGGGTATTCCGAGCCAAAAGACTTAATTCGTTAATTAGGATAAATAATCTTTCTTATAAAAGACATCGGACCATGAACTTTATCGGATAAGTATAGAATAAGTCCCAACGAAATACCTACTTATATCCATACCGTGACAACTCTAGACCATTTTTACCAAATCCGAGCGGAATTTAGAACAATGGCGGCGGATTTGCATTAACTGTCAAGGCTAGAATTTACCGTGTTTTAAGGTTCAACCACAAAATAATTATTAATAAGTCATATATGCAAATAATTTCGATTCCGATGGTGATATTAGGAACATAAAACTTCAAGGAATAGCATAAAAATATTATTGACTTATCAAGCTATCGCGGAGTTTATTTAAATAATTATTTTTTATACTGCCGAATTTAGGTCTGCCTGTCATATGCTTGGCGGAAAGTTTCCGTTTGAATTTTTCGTAAGTTATCAGAGTAACAACAGAAGGAAATTTGATTTCGTGCAGTTCTTTCGGAAGTGAGTCTTGAAACAGGTCTGGGAAATTCGAATCCGTGTGAAGTGAAAGCTAGAACAGGGCCGATTATGCACTTTTGTGATCTTAAAATTTCAGTCGTTACATATACAACTTAGGCCCTTAGGCGCTTTCAGAAAAATTTTAAAGATGTATAAAATTACTTTTTTTTCCTATTGGAAAAAATTCTATTTGGCAAAATCAACTTTAAAAATATTTAGTGGGAGAACCATTCATAACAGATCACTTTTTCTTTTTGATTTGTATAGAGAACTCAATTGTTTTTAAAGTTGCCTTGCAGCATTCTGGAAACAACCATTTTGGCAGGCTTTTTGTTCTAGGCGCCCCACAGTGGGACGGTTGGTTTGGAAACCAATCCACCGAAACCATAGGTGCCACAGAATTTCACAGTAACAGTTTTCTAGGAGTTTCTGAGTAAATTTGCTCTGATTTTAGGAACATTTGCTTCAAGGGTTACTATTCGGTTGGTTTCAAATCGGGTACTTGATTTTGAAACGGTTTCTTTGACAACGAGATCACTATGGACGGCAGTCCATGTAGTGACGAAGCGCACCAGGGGAGTGTGCGAAGGCGACTACTATTATATAGCCGCAAAATTGAAAATCTGCTGTGATAGTCCGATCGTAATGAGTAATACACCAATCGAAAGGTATTACAAAAACTTATGGATTAAACTTAGGATTGCATACCAAGACCTGAAGAAAATCAATTGGTTTATGAGAGAGAGAGGTGAAAGTGAAAAAGTGAAAATTTCGAATTTTGGAGCTGTTGGGGCCGGTGGGGATAAAAGCCCCCTCGCAATGTTTTAGTTGTATTTTTATTGAAAATACCCGTCGAAATAGGGGTCATATGATAAAATCCGACACTCCGTTCAAAAGTTATAGCCAAAATAAGATTTTCCTCTTCTTCCCAAAATGAAAATTTAATTCTGTTTGTCAGTTTGTCCGCTTGTCAGTTTGTCCAAAATATGTTTTTTAAGTTCTGAAAATTTGATATGACGTTCATCACATCGATATAAAAAACTTTTGTTCTACCACTTTTGGAAAAACCCGCTAGTTTAGCGGGAAAACAGCTATAAATAGCTAAAATTCGGACACTTTTACGAGTGTCATAACGCCCTTTCAAAAAATGACACTTTTAAAAGTCAAAAAAAATACAAGGAAAAATAGTTTGAAAAATTTTTTTTTTTTTTGCATTTATTTTTTAATTTTGATTGGGGAACAACTTTGCATCAAAACATTTTTGTTGTAAGCCCCAGGAAAAACGTTGAAAATTTGACTTTCAAAAAATTTGCTCACTTTTCAAAGGGGTCTTAATGGGTTAAGAATATTTTTGTGCCATTTAAACGGAATTGAAGTGCTCTTTCTATGGGTGCCAAAAGCTTATATTATAAGTTCAAAATAAGACTACAGTTAACATTTAAATTTGTGAAAATACTTTTGACCACCCCTGTATGCGCCGATAGGTTCGCACTTCAGACAATTCGACGATATTCCACAGAGTTTGAAGATAAATCGCTTGGGAATTCATTATACCCGTTACTCGTAGAGTACAAGAATAGGTAATACTCTAGTTTACGGTCCTCACCCCCAAAATTCGCGAAAAAATTATCCTCGACGGACCGCGAATTCTTAAGGATTTACATGAAGAAATATAGACGCGGACTGCCATGGTTCTCTTGTAATCGAATTTCAAAGTTACGTGTTTTGCTATAAAAATAAAGTAGCCCTTTCTAAGATTTTGAGTGGTTTGCTATAAAAAACATAAGGGCTTTTCATCCCTTGCCAAAATAATAGGCGTTCAGAAAAATTCGACCAAAATCTGAAATTGTTTTCATAGCGGGCCAGACCCCACAGCCGCAAAATAAATATCCTCGATGGACCGCTATTCCTTAAGAATTCGAATGACCATGGATGACCAACATATGCGTAACTTATAAAAGTAAAGTTTAAGAAATCGCTGTCCAATATTTTTCGGAAGTTAATAGAATAACAACAGAGGGAAATTCGATTTCGTGCAGTTCTTTCGGAAGTGAGTCTTGGAACAGGTCGAATTTCCCTCTGTTGTTACTCTGTTAACTTCCGAAAAATTCACACGGAAACTTTCCGCCAAGCATATGACAGGCAGACCTAAATTCGGCAGTATAAAAATTAATTTTTTAAATAAACTCCGCGATAGCTTTATAAGTCAATTATATTTTTAAATTATTCCTTGATGTTTTATGTTCCTAATTGCATCATCGGAATCGAAATTATTTGCATATATGACTTATTATTAAATATTTTGTGGTTGCACCTTAAAACCCGGTAAATTCTAGCCTTGACAATTAATGCAAATCCGCCGCCCTTGTTCTAAATTCCGCTCGGATTTGGTAAAAATGGCTTAGAGTTGTCACGGTATGGATATAAGTTAGAATTTCCTTGGGACTTATTCTAAACTTATCCGATAAGGTTAATGGTTCTTTTATAAGAAAGATAATTTATCCTAATTAACGAAATAAGTGTTTTGGCTCGGAATACCACATTTTTTCATGTGAAATTTGAACGGGGACATTTGATAGGGACTTTGTTTTTCGACTTTGGCATTTCTGTATGCTCTTGCAGTTTGCAATACTATGATTCCCACACTGATTTTTAATACTATTCTGTCGGGAGCCTTTCAAAACTGCGCAGGGACCAATGGGAAATTTACATGAAATAATGGGGTATTCCGAGCCAAAAGACTTAATTCGTTAATTAGGATAAATTATCTTTCTTATAAAAGAACCATGAACTTTATCGGATAAGTATAGAATAAGTCCCAACAATATACCTACTTATATCCATACCGTGACAACTCTAGACCATTTTTACCAAATCCGAGCGGAATTTAGAACAATGGCGGCGGATTTGCATTAACTGTCAAGGCTAGAATTTACCGGGTTTTAAGGTTCAACCACAAAATAATTATTAATAAGTCATATGTGCAAATAATTTCGATTCCGATGGTGCTATTAGGAACATAAAACTTCAAGGAATAGCATAAAAATATTATTGACTTATCAAGCTATCGCGGAGTTTATTTAAATAATTATTTTTTATACTGCCGAATTTAAGTCTGCCTGTCATATGCTTGGCGGAAAGTTTCCGTTTGAATTTTTCGTAAGTTAACAGAGTAATAACAGAAGGAAATTTGATTTCGTGCAGTTCTTTCGGAAGTGAGTCTTGAAACAGGTCTGGGAAATTCGAATCCGTGTGAAGTGAAAGCTAGAACAGGGCCGATTATGCACTTTTATGATCTTAAAATTTCAGTCGTTACATATACAACTTAGGCCCTCAGAAAAATTTCAAAGATGTATAAAAATACTTTTTTTTCCTATTGGAAAAAATTCTATTTGGCAAAATCAACTTTAAAAATATTTAGTGGGAGAACCATTCATCACAGATCACTTTTTCTTTTTGATTTGTATAGAGAACTCAATTGTTTTTAAAGTTGCCTTGCAGCATTCTGGAAAATCTTAAAAAAAAACAACCATTTTGGCAGGCTTTTTGTTCTAGGCGCCCCACAGTGGGACGGTTGGTTTGGAAACCAATCCATCGAAACCATA